TTTTTTCCCAACAAGAAACTTAAAACATGTTTATAATGGTAAATTTGTATAGTGAAATATCAATTTTGCAATTACGCTCTGTCCCCGGTCTGACAATGATTGAAAAATTCATCACCACTGAGAACGAAACGGTTTTCTTTTATAATTAATACATTTAGTTTTCTTTGTATAACACGATTACTTAAGAACGTATTTCGCATGGTAATTTCTAGTAAAAAAAAAATAAGGATTTTACTATTTTAGTATTCTAAGCTCCGCCCCTAGGTCTGCTAACGAATGAAAACTTCGTGACTATTTAGATCAGGCCAGGTATGGCTGGGGCTGAATCTTTGGTTTTAATTTTTTTTAACAATACATAATATTCTTTGAATAACACTATACTTGAAAACATGTCTTAACATGGAATTACCATGTAGAAAAATAATAACGACTTTGAAATTAAATTCCGCTCCGTTGGCTCTCGATGATTAAAAAATCATCACAATTGAGACAGGGCGGGTGGGTGGGGCTCATATATATATTTTTTTCGTAATATACATAGCCATCTTTTCACAACAAGAAACCTAAAACATGGTTAAAATGGTACATTTTTGCAAGGAAATATGGATTTTGCAATTATGAGGCGGAGCTTAATTGCTAAATCGATATTTCCTTATACAAATTTTCCATTTTAAACATTTTTTAGGTTTCAGGTTGTGAAAAAAAGTTTACACGACATGTTAAAACAAAAAGACAAAATGTAAGCCCGCCCACCCGTCCTATCTCAATTGTGATGATTTTTTTTATTTGCCGTGAACCAAGGGGGCAGACTTTAACTACAAAATACTTATTTCTTCACAAGAAATTAAAAACATGTTTTTGAGTATCGTGTTATCCAAAGAACATTAATGTATATTAAGAAAAAAGGCGAAATATAAACCCCGCCCACCCACCGCGTCTTTATTGTGATATTTTTTTCTTCTTAGAAACTTGAAACACGTTTAAAATGGCAAATTTTTATAAGAACATACGGATTTTGCTCCTCGGTCTGACAACTACTTTGACTTGTTTTTTCTTAATATACATAGTATTCGTTGAATAACACGATACTCAAAAACATGTTTTTATTTCTTGTAGAGAACTAAGAATTTTGCACTTAAATTCCGCTCCTTTAGCTCTTGACGATAAAAAAGATCATCACAATTGAGATAAGGCGGGCGGGTGGGGCATATATTTTGTCTTTTTTCTTAATATGCGTAGTCGTCTTTTCGGAACAAGAAATTTAAAACATGTTTCAAATTGTAAATTTTTCTAGGAAAGTATCGATTTTGCAAGTAGGCTCCGCCTCTCGGTCTGACAACGAATGAAAAATTCATCACGATTGATATCGAGACGGATAGATGGGGCTTCTAGTTTGTTTTTGTTTTTTAATTAATACATTTAGTTTTCTTTGTTAAGAACATATTTCACATGGTAATTTCTCGCAAAAAAATAAAGATTTTACAATCAAGCTCCGGACCTCGGCTTACGACGAATAAAAAAAATTCATAAGAATTGAGACAGGGTGGGCGGGTGGGGCTTACACTTTGCCTTTTTTTTTTCTTATTATACATAGCCATCTTTTCACAACAAAAAACTTAGAACATGGTTAAAATAGTACATTTTTTCATGTTGTGAAAAAAGTCTACACATATTAAAACAAAAAGACAAAATGTGGGCCCGCCCACCCGCCCTGTCCCAATTATGATTATTTTTTTATGCACCGTGAACCAAGAGGGCGGAGCTTAACTGCAAAATACTTATTTCTTTACAAGAAATTAAAAACATGTTTTTGAGAAGAATACTAAAAAAAAATTGAGAGTACGAAACGATAGGTCCCAGTTTTCGTCGTTTTGTCTGTGTCGATTTTTATTAGATTATTAGACATAATCTCCAAAACTATCAGGCCCATTGTTGTCAAAATGTATCTGTATTTAAAGAACATCGTGTGTAGATGGTAAATCGCTTACCAAAATTTGGCCCCCGACCAACGAGATAACGTCATTTCCAAAAGTTATATTGATAAGAAGTGTTATTTAAATTTTATAAAATAAGATACTCCTTAGATTTTTGAAAAAAAAAAATTAAGTTTAACTTTGATACTGCAAAAAATCGTTACAATTTTGTCGAATAAAAGTTTTGAAATTTATTAGTGTTTACATAGTAAAAAAACGAGTGTGTTTAATTAATTAATTGAACCAAATTTCATTTTCTTTTGCAGTCACTGATGCTTGTAATCTGAAAATGCTAATAGTCCAACTCTTTTGAAGTAAAACAATAAACAGTCAAAGTTAAGACTGAGAAATTGAGAACACATTTTTTCCGTTGGTTGTCTGCTTTAAACATATTTCATATTGTCTGCACGTTGGAATTCGCTTTATAGTTATCACGAAACAAAAGTGGTAAAATCAAATTTTATAATTGTTCAAAGAAGTGAAATTTGTGAGAGTATACTTCAAAGACGAGGAAAGTTCTCTACTTAATAAGATAGAAGATACGACTGTTTTTGGCAAATGACATTTCTTCCAAAAAAATAGAGGGCGGGTGGGCGGGGTTAGCATTTTATATGAAAAAAGTTGATCTCCGATTTTCCTTTCCGTATGTCTGTCTGTCGTCTGTCTGTGTCGATTTAACTACTAATAATTTTACTGAAACATTTGTTTGACTTGTTTCGACCTCTTTAGGTCATTTTCAGAGACTTCTAAACGAAAGCACATGCAAATTAAAATGGATATTAAAATTTGTTTATTCACTACATTAAATTTTAATAAGCCGTTAGTTCGTTCGGTATTTCACGTTAAACTTTAATTTAAATTTCCATCTGTAATAATAATGTAATAATCTAATAATGTAATAATAAATACCCTTCTAAGTTTTTAAAAATGACTCAAGAAAGCCGAAACAGGTAAATTATTTTTTATTTCGTTATTGTAATATTTTCTACGTTTGATGACCCCTAGAGCATGAAAAACTGTCTGTCTTCCGTCTGCGGTCTGTCATCTGTCTCGATTAGACAGATAAACTACCAGACCGATTCTCATCAAACTTTACGGGTTTTTACGAACGTCGTGTAGACGATACAACGCTGACCAATTTTTGTGTAATTCTCCCCACCACCAATTTGATGACGTTATGTCAATATTTTGCTAAATAAATACTATTTAAATTTTAGAAAATAACATGCCTCTGCACTGAAATCAGTAAGTCGTAACCTAGTGATTAAGGTTTGAAATTGAGCAGCTTGAGCTCTGCCTGCGTGGGTTCAAATCCCACACCCGTCGACATTGTTTTTCTAAAATATTGATTTTGTTTCATTGTTTGGGTTCGGGTACGACGGAAGTAAGTTAATAACTTTACACTAAACAGACTAATTTAGATAGAAATTACTTCGACACAAAATTTTCAAGAAAATTGGAATACCATGGCAATGTCGCATCGGAATTTCCAAAAAAAAAACATAGTTGTAAAATCTTAGAAGACTTAAGCGAATCAATAAAAATATATAGAATGTTTCATAAAAAAAATTGGCCGAAGGTTATTTCGACAAAACTTCCCTCGTCCCTGATGTACAATAAAACAAATCCTGTTTTTTCGAAAAATTATAAAATAGACAAACATATATTTTGATTAAAAATGTACCATGCTTACGATAAGTTTGAAACATTTGCAAGATTTCAAAGCTAGAGGTTGTGTAGTTCCTGATTTAATCAATAAATAAATTGACACTTTCATTAAATTTTTTGAGTCATCCTGTATAAGTAATTCTAGAAACCATGAGTACGTTGATAAACCACAAGTATACAGTCATAATGTTTTGCATATTTCATAGATTTATTCGGCAAAATTTTCAGATGACAGAATATAGTTCTTAAAATACCGCATAGTTTTGGTCTTGACTTTATGTTGTATCTCTAATAATTAATGGGATATCGAGCACCGCGCCCTTAGTAACTCACCCTGTATATATTACACTATTAAAATCCAGCAAGATTTTAATGCAATCGATTTTGTACATAGTCTATTTATAAAATTTTTCTAAAATTCCCGGTATATTTATTTTGGGATGACATCATCAAATTTTTGGTAGGGATGATTAGACCGATTTTAGTTTTATCACCTATACGAATTCTTAACATAATAAAGTAAATGTATTCATAAACCAAACAAAATCATTTCGGGGCTATTTTTGAATAAGTACGTCCCATAAAACACGTCACCAACTTTATGAAGGAGGTGAATACAAATTTCATAATAAAAATAGTTCTCAATAAAGCTCTTAATCCCTGCGTTGGTGTTAATGTTTAATAAAATGAACCCACTTTGATTGGCGTTTTACAGTCTTAATAACGATTTTCTAACACAGTAATCTAAATCTCTAGGGTACATTGATCATTGTTTTCACCGGGGTTTGATTACGTTGGCTTAGTTGAAATTGTTACAGCAGATAGAAATCCATCAAATTGGTAATTACGCGACGCTTTCGTAAAAAATAAGTGGAAAATTGCTTAAATGACAAAAGGTCAAAAAAATTAGTTGTGAAGAAGTAACCAAAGACACGTGGAACGTCGTACTACATGTACCACATTTAAATAATTGCAGAATAAATTATGCAATTAAGAGCAAAACTCATAATTCATTGTATGAGTCACCCGGCGAGAAAATAACACTCCCATCGATTTTCCAAAGTGACGATTACTATTATTACTATCACTATTACTATGGAAGACAATGTGGATTAATTGTTCAGTTTTCGTTTACTAACAATGTCTATTAAGACGGTGACCTCACTCATAAACTTAAACATACTTCACACTAATGTAAGCAAACCTATGACGTTATTCCAGTAAATATCTCACTTTAAATTCAATCGTTTTACTAAAACTGGAAACGATTTCTTCATGGTACGAAAATGCTAATAAAAGTTACGAAAGAATCCTTGTGGCGACATTTATCTTAAACTAGAAAATCGTCGCGTTTAGTACCTCTGCTCCAAACCACAATTGTCCGGCGAGGTTTTCCTGCAGAACGTCTTCAGGAAATTTGACTCTAAAGTCCCTGTTGGCTCTTTCGTCCCCGATCAGCACGTCCATGATGGCGTTGGTGATGGTGAGGACCTTGTCTTGGGACTGCCTCAGCTGGTTGACCAGCGTGGTGCACCTTCCAGGGTCCTTGCGGCCGTCGAAGCTGTCCAGCTCGCTGGCGATGATGTTCAAGGCTTCGTCGGCGAAGAAGAATTGTGCCAACAAAGATTTGTCATCTCTCTGCAACGGTGTTTACTGAATAAATAAGGCGACGTCACCGAACGAGGAAACTTTTGATTTTTATTGTTGATTCGCGGTGACGTCAGCAGGTAGAAAGCGAAACAATGTGGAATAATTATAATGGTGCTTAGGCAGCGAAATTAATTTCTATTTTGTTCGTATTATTAAAAAAGAAAAGTAGTCCACTGGGAAATTAGGTTATGGCATTAATTCCATTACGTCGTGGTGTAGCTGATGGGACTCGCCACAAGTTCTGGACGTGCTTTTAACTATTGTTTAAATATTCGCGGTTATCAATTTTGCATATCTAAAATGCAGTCTTCACGCGATGTCGAAAATGGGGCGCTTACCTTGGGTCTGTAAAACCACTTCCTGAAGGACTCCATTTCGTGTTACAACTCTACAACTACCGACATTTTATTTACAAGATTTACACTAGAACTGAGTCAAGTTTTGCGAAAATTAGAGCACGATTTCAAGAGAAACCATGTTGATCATCACTATTTGCACCATATAACTGGTTTTTCGAACACGGTCTGTTGAAGGCTGCTTTTGGTGTCATGGCGATTAATTGCAGATTAATATTATCGAATTTATTGCTGAAGCGTTCAGAAAGATGAAGGACTCGTGCTTTGGTCACTAATTAAAAGAGTTTTTGACACAACTAAACGTCTGGATGGGTGATTCACGACATACTGATTTTGACAGGTGCGCAGTACAGTGCTGCCATCTGATTCAGGTCGGGTTACTAGCTTGAAGTTGGTAGCATTCTGTAAATGTCAAACGGATGGAAATTTAACGTTGGAGAAGATACCACACGAGGACGCAAAGTACGCAATTGCAAACCGAATTACAATTCTCTAGTGAATGAAAATACACCAATTTAGGCAAGAACTTTCAATTTTGCGTTATTTAAAACGCTGGTTTCCCACCCTGATTTTTAAAAGGCGGTTGATGTTTGGTAAACATGATTTTTAATAGGCGAACTGTGTGAGTATATTTTTTTTATTATTTTGTCTATTAAGACAAACTGTAGTTGTTATACTGAGAGAGCAATAAAAAACGCGATCAAAAACGGCTATAGATAGAATTTTCGACTTGTCAGATTACCGTTAATCTGAAAATTTTACTTGTATTGTTCTCTCGATATAATAAAAATCTAATACTGCTACGGAACCATCATATACAGTGTGTTATTGAAAGGTACGTACAACAAAATTGACAGTTCTTCGCGAAGTCTAAGAAGTCTGAAAAACTTATTTTGTGTTATCAAAATTATAAGGGGAAAATTAACCCTTATCCAACCTCTTTAGACGCTACTGAAGGATAAATAGGTAAAATTAACTTATTTTAGTAAATCCTAGCAACTGTAACAATAAAACTTTTGTCAAGACCAAATGTTGCTATAGAAACGAAAGATGATCTTTCTATCAGAGGCGTACAACGAATTTGGACATAAATTTTAATAATTTTTATCTCCAAAAGGAGAACACTTTTACCTGAACTTTTTTTAACTTTTAGCACCCATATTTCAAGACCAATTGCCCATTTTATTTTGTACGTACCTTTCAATAACACGCTGTATGTATATGCCATATACATAAGTTCAATTTTTCAATACGTTTATGAAAATTTACACTATTTTCTAGAAGAATTAAAAAAAAAAAATCAAAGCTAATAATTTTAAAATCTTACTCTGACACCATAAACACTATATTTTCTGTATCATCACGTCGAAATCTACCATGTGATATCGTTTGATTTGCAATTTAGTTAGTCGTAACTTGACACAGTTTTTAATTTAAAAAAATTGGTCGAAGGTTATTTCGACAGAACTTCCCTCGCCCCTGAAATACAATCAAACAAATCCAGCTTCTTCGAAAATGATAACATTTGATTATGCGAATTTTATTTTTTTATGGGAATGTTAAGTGTAAGTTAAAATAAAGATATCTATGTAACGTTAAAGTAAATGTAAAGAAGCATGCCGTACGTACGTTCCAAATGAGTTTTCCCTTAACAAAATTTTGTGATGACGTCATCAACATTTTTGCAAACACACTTTGGATAGGTGTAGTGTAATACTGTTGATAACAGTATTATCTTCCCAAATTTTCGGGAAAACGATTTAATTAATAAAATAAATTGAATCATTCATTATTTTTTATGAGTCACTGTGTATAAAAAATTTAAAAACTTTTAATGCAATGATAAATCACAAGGAAAACTCATCATATTTTGTACATTTTGGATAGGATTTCTTCGGCAAAATTTTGAGATGACGTCATCAGTTTTTAGAGGGGGTAAATGAATAAATTTTACTTAACGATTTACCATGACTATGATAACCTTAAAATATTTACAAGGAGTATCTTATTTTTTATAATTAAAAAAAACTTTTTATTATAAATTTTGGAGATGACGTCATCCCATTGGTGGTGGGGATTATCCAAATTTTAGTTAGCGTGAAATCATCTACATTATATTCCTATTATACACAGGCGCGGATACAGGATTTCGTTCAGAGGGGGGGGGGGCGCAATTTTTGTGTGATTTTACCTATCTACCAAGAATTCGTTCTAAACATAAAAATTTTATAAAATTTTAGCTCGTATACTCTTTTTCACATAATATGGGTGACATTTGGTTTTTTTCATTACACGTATAGTGTACAGTAGAACCTCGATAATCCTAATTCCTAATTGGGAAAAGGTGTGTTCGGATTAACGATTTGTTCGGATCAGCAATTTTCGCAAAAATCTGAAAGGGAATTGAATAACAACTTCATACACAACTGAAAACAAACTTCAATAAATAAACCTAAATTTTAACCAATGGATAATAGATACATTCTAAAAAAATATTACTCCGTGACCATAAACACGCTATCTTTTTGGAATAAACACCCCGGGATCTATACCCTGAAATTTTTCAGAATTTTTAGATGAATTTTTCAAAAATGAAATTTTCCATTATGTATTCGTATTACCTCCATTATGCAAATTTCGACCCATTCTCGACGATTTTCGAAATTTAACTAAATATATTTTCTTGTAGATTTTGGACCTCAAAAGTCACTTCTGGCTTCATTTCTTCGATAACTTAAACCACAGCGAATTTTCCGAAAATATTACTCCGTTACCATAAACATGGTATATTTTTCGAATCAGCACGTCGGGATATATATCCCTGAATTTTTTCAGAATTTTTAGAAACATTTTTCAAAAATGAAAAAAAAAATTTCTGATGAAAATTTCGACCCACTTTCGACGATTTTCGAAATTTAACCAAATACTTTTTCTTGTAGATTTCGGGTCTCCGATAACTTCATCCGTTTCTCCAGAATTAGTTAATTAATTCAGTGCTTTGAAATATCGCAATTTTTAAAAATTTCAAAATATTCCATACAACATATGCAGAAAGATCTTGCGGTATTTTTGGAAGTAGATGCATGTTTTCAAGTTCAGTTCGGATTGCAGAGTTTTTGTTCGGATTAAAAAGGCATCGACTTCAAATTGCCTCTGTTCGGATTATAGAGGTTGTACTGTATTTACAAAATGAAATATGAATTAAAAATTTTGAAATTGGTCAAAATAAAGTACCTCAGTCGTGTGTCAGGGGGGGGGGGGCAATTGCACCCATTGCCCCCCCCCTGGATCCGCGCCTGATTATACATGCAAAATGTGACAACAATCGGTCCAATAGTTTCGAAGATTACTTGTCTAATAAAAATGGATAGCCACCAAAGAGACAAACAGACTTAAACAGGAGACCAAATTTTTCGTACTCTAGAGGTCATGACACGTCGAGGAAATTTGAAAGTGGCAATTCAGCCGATGGACTCGATTACTATACTTTAGTTACGTTTAGCCTACGTTCGGGAAGTACAAATTATAAAATTTTAATTAATTTAGCCCGTAAATTCCCTTTGTTTTTAAAAATGTGCATTATTGTGATGAATTCGCAATTTCACACCATAACCTGAATATGGGTTGTCTGTGGCTGAACTTAGAAAGTTAGGTTATGGTAACAATAATTAAACCGTAGTTGGATTGAAAATGATTTATTTATGATAAGTAACATATTTAATTGATTTACACAAATGTACGTAAATTGAATCTGCGTTTCATATTTTCAAATACTCTCACTTTTAGGTTTTCAATAATTGTATTCACTTAGTATTGCTTAAAAATAGTGTTTTTCAAAGTGGGGAACAAGAAATAGTCCGAAGGTGTCAAATCAGACGATCAAAGTGGGTAAATATGGTATGTGTGGGAGCTGATTACACGATGATCATAAAATTAATTATGTTTGAACTGTATGAGCTGTTGCGTTGTCATGCTGAAAATATCCATTGTGGTTCTAAGTATTCCTGTTTGGAAAGAATTTCAAAGTGCTTTGGAGCCTCTAGTGTACTTTTTTTTAATAATTTAATTAAATTTCTTAGATGGTATTTCATTTGCCAAAATCACTGTTATATTAGCAGGTACTAGCCCCGCCCACCCACCCTCTCTTTTCATAGACGGTATGTCATTTGCCAAAATCGGTGTTATTTTAACAGTTACTAGCCCCGCCCACCCACCCTCTGTTTTCAAACTGGTCAATAAATTTAAGTTTGAAAGAATTTCGGGGATCCCCAGACTTGTTTTTGAAATATAACTTGAAAGAATCTCAGACATTGCTTGTATTTTTGATTTTGAAGTTAGTAGAGTATAAAATGTTACTTCTGGGCCAGAGCCTTTGGCGTCTTACAAATCAAGGCAAAATCTTACAAATTTAACTGTTTTCCCAAAAGTCAACAACCGAGAAAGGTCTAAACCCTTCAAAAAGCATTGATTTTTATGCACCCCAAAAGTATCCAAATACATATCTGTAGACCACCAAAAATTGGGTCCACGAAAAAACAGGGTAGAATTCTACAAATTTAGTGTTTTCCCAAAAGTAAACAACCGAAAAAGATCTAAAAAACTTACAAAATGCCTCGTTTTTAAACACCCCAAAATGGCTTTCTATTTCTGGACTAGAACATTTGGCGTCTTCAAAAAACAAGACAGAGCCCTAAAAATTTAGCTGTTCTCCTAAAAGTAAACAACCGAAAAAGACCTAAAATCTTTAAAAAAGCACCAATTTTTATGCACCCCAAACGTAGTAAATATCTGTAGACTACCAAAAATTGGGCACACGAAAAAACCGTTGAAATCTTCCAAAATAATGCAAAATTATCTCAAGAGCACTCTGAAAAACTTTCAAAATCCGTTGTTTTTAAACACTCCAAAATAATTTTTTATTTCTGGACCAAGCCATTCGGCGCATGCAAAAAAATAGAAAAACAACACCAAATCCAAGAGGTATATTTGGCGCCTTACAAAACAAGCCAGAATCCTGAAAATTTATGTTTTCCCAAAAGTTACCACCGAAAAAGACATGAATCCTTCAAAAATCATAATTTTTATGAGCCCAAAAAATACTCGAAAATCAATAGACCACCAGAAAACCGTTGAAAATCATCCAAAATCTAATATAATTACATTAAAAGCGACCAAAAAATCCTTACAAAATACATTCCAAAATGGCCTTTTTTTAATTTCTGGACCAAGCCAATTGGCGCACGCAAAAAAATCATCGGTCGGAATGGCCATCGGCTAAATATTAAACAAATAAAAGCTCTTATTTCTTTATTAAACAGTTTTCTAAG